TGTGTTCAAGCTCAAATTTCGTACTCAAAACAATATTTTTCGCCTGTTTTGGCAGCCTAAAAACTAGCAATTTAGAGAAGGACATTACATTTATTTGGTTCAAACAAAAAGAGCCTTAACATTTTTCAGGCCCGAGGCGACCATTTGGCTATTTCGCACAGTTCGCTTTTGTATCGGTGCATGACGCTGGGTTCACTTTTATGTCGCCTGCCAAAGTTGAGTGCTAGTGAGGTCAGCATATTGCTATTTAATGTAATCAAGTCGGTGTCCTTCATCACAACTGGGCAGCGTTCAGTTGCATAAATACACCTGCAAAATATGTTCCTCTTGTAACTGTTGTGGTTCATAATTTGATTTCGCTTTTAATTAAAGTGAAAATTTTGCCGTCAAAGTGAGTCTGTGTGTGTGTGTGTGTATGTATGTGTGTGTTTTGAATGAATCGGTTCTGACCTGATTTAAAAAAAAAAAAAAATAATAATAATATTATGATTTTAATAACCCAAAAATTGTGCATACTTTTAGTTGCTTTTACCATATTCAGTTTCATGACCACAAAAAAAAAGGACATATTTGTGCTTGGGAATACCCTTATGCGCTTTCTCAAGACATGTGTCATGTCAGGGCCATAAAAATAAAAAACAAATAATAAAAAACCCAGTAGCGGCATCAGCTTCAAGATGGCAAGCGCATCTTTGGGCCCACTACATGCTCTACGAGTACTCGGTTAAGTTATACCAATGTGTATGCGTGTGCTTGTGCTTGAGTGTGTGTGTGTGTGTCTGTGTCTGTGTGAGTAGGCATTTGTGCTATGAACACAAGAGCTGAGGGCTACGTGTCCTTGAATATTAGGCTACATTTTTGTTGCTATTTTAGAATGCTCAGATTGATACATTTTGTACATTTCAGATGAAGGGGACAATTTCGCACCACTATCAGCAGCACCCGAAAATTGTTCGTGCTAAATTCTTCAAGTCCGTGCACGGACATAAATATGTACTTGTTACTTATTTACATACATACTGGACTACTTATGTGTGTAGGCATGGGTGTGTGTCCATGTGTGTGTGTGTGTGTGTGGGCCTCTTCTCTGTTGGCTCCACATCTTAATTATATTTGTGCGCGACTTGGTGTGTATGTGAGTATTTCAGAAACAGATGTCTGCTTGTGTGACAAAACACTAAAAATATCTCAAGCATGTGGCATGGTATGCCAGCAGTTGCCAGCAACAACCAGGCTGGGCACCAGTGCGCGCAGTCAGGCACTCAGTCACACCGCCAACCCTCATACTCATGCATGAAACAACAATCTTCAACGCACCGCCAAGCCCCATACACACACACACACGCACACGAACACACACACGCACACACACTCACATACAACCTATTCAGAATCTTCAAACCGAAATTCCCCAATGCCCATGCCAATGCCTATGCCCATGCTCATTCCGGTTGCACAAAAAGCAAATGTCAATGCTCACTCCGCACAGCGGTAAAGTCCAGATAAACAGAGAGAGAGAGAGAGAGAGAGAGAGAGAGAGAGAAAGAGCGAGAGCGAGAGGGAGAGGGAAAGAGAGAATGAGAAAGAGAGAGAAAGAGCGCGTCAAAAGTCCAACTGTTCCATCCAACGTGTGCTTAAAAATTTCCCAACTTGTAGCAAACGAGAATAATAAAAACAATACATATGAAATATCCTCACGCATGCACGAGTCGGCAAATAGAGCGAGATAGAGCGTATGTGTGTAAAAGAGAGAGAAAGAGAGATAGAGAGTAAGAGCAAACGAATGCGATATATACAACAGCTATAAGCAGGAGTGCGCGCGCTCTTTATAGAGCTCGACTTAATCTGCGCAACTGCTCACGCGCACATTGTCGAGGCCGAGGACGTTTCGGCAAAACGTTGTGCATCCATCCAATCCATCCAAGCCACTGATGGATGCTGGCTGCATCTCCAGCTGCTGGCCTAGTTATTCAGCGAGGAATAAGGTGTGTGTGTTTACTTAGTGCTCGCGCTCTTTACGAACCACTGCGAAGACGTCATATAGAGAGAGAGAGAGAGAGAGTCAAAGATGATTTGTGTATGTGTGTGTGTGTGTGTGTGTGTGTGTGTGTGTATTTGTATGTGTGAGCGCTGTTTGTGTGGTCTGATTGTGTCACTATGTCAATAGTTGTCGTTGGTCTTCTTGGCAGGTACTCCACAGCCACTTGCTGAGAGTAGTGAGCGCCGCTTTAGCCGTCGTGCTCTTTGCAGCTGATGTGTCTTGCTGCCAGACTGCTCTGCTATTCCGTGTAACCCCTGGCCAGCATATAACAACAGCAGCAACAGTAAAAGCAGCAGCAGCAGCGGCGTAAGGCGCCTCGTTATTATGTTTACAATGTTGTGTAAAGTTGTAAATGAAGCACAAAGACAACACATACATATGTCTATATGTATGTCTATATGTGTATATACGTACATATCTGTATATATATGTATATATATGTATATGTACAAATATATGTATATATATATTGGTCTAAACTCTGTGTACACATACAGGTGTGGCGTGTGCATGTTTTAGTGTGGGAATAACAAAAGGCAATGAACGGGCAATAGTGACGCCAAGTGAGCGGCAGGGGCTGAAGTTCACAGTTCACAGTTTGTGTGTGCGTGTGTGTGTGTGTTTAGGTGTAGGCATAGGTGTGCGTGTGTGGTTGTGTGCGCTTTTTGATTTCTCATTTGATTGTACACCCATTTCAGTTCCCGTCCATTTACAATGGGCATTAATTATGTATGCCTCAAAGGTTCAACTGGAAAATTGGACGACTTCTAAACAGCAAACATTCAGACAAAAAGTGTAGCATAGTTTTCTGCGCTCACTACTGCTGCTGTTTCTGCTGCTCTTTCCGCTGCTCCTGCTGCTGCTGCTGCCACTGGGCGAGTAAAGCGTTAAGGGTGTGTTGCGCGGGTATAGTATAGTAGTTAGGTGCGATACAGTTTGGAGGCATTGGGGAGGCTATGGGCCATGATTAGATTTGCAAATCGCACACTATTGAATTTGACAGCCTTCAATTGATGTAAATTTTCAATTTGTGATTACTCGTTTTTACCAGCCGGAATTCCGGAATTAACTTAAACGAAATTATGCATATGTGATTGCATTTGCAAATGTCTGTATGTATACAAATATATATCTGAAATATGCATATATGTATACGCTTTTGAGTGAAGCACGCGAAAAATTATGCCACCCGATAGTATTTATTTTTATTGCCGAGGTCAGGAGCTCTTTTGTACTTTTTGTTCATGGCATTACAAACAAAACGAGAGCATCCCCAATGGCTAGTCTAATGTCTCAAAGCATCACACAATAAAAGAAACAAATTAGCTAGAAATCGGCCAAAGCTGAATTTGTATGCTAAAAGATGGTTGGTAAGGCAAAAAAGTTCAATGAAATAAAATATGGCTTTGAAATAAATATAGTTGTTCTTTATGCCAAGTCTGATTAAAATATTGAAAGACAAATTCTGTTGAAAATTCTTAGAACAGCTTGAGGCTTGTTAGATTTAATTTACAATTAATTCCAAGAACTCACACCACAACCTGAATTCCCGCGAAAAGCCACTCACCATAACTTACATGTATATAAGCATGTGAGGTTAGACTAGAGATAAAATTTAATTAAGTTTCTGCATATTATTATTACGTTTAACTAAGCTTTGTGGTCACGAAGTGCTCTAGAGCATGAGTTTGGTTAAGCAGAATGACTTATGGCGTGAAAGGCTTATGGCAGAATTTTCTCGGAACTTGCACTTAGACAAGTGTCATTCAGTTGAACTGCGTTTGCTGCTCAGTGTTAAGTGATGCTTAACACTAAATTGAAGAAGTTGGTGCAACCGGCACTCGGAACAATAAGATATATAAGCAACACAAACTGCGGCAGCCAACACCTAACCAATTAAAAGTTTTAAAAAACTTTTCGAATTAACTCGAAAAACAACTTAATTTTTGTATTATTTGGTTTTTGTTTTTGTTTTTTGTTTTTTTTGTTTTTTTTTTTTTGGAATTTTTTGTTGTGTGTTTGTGTGTGTGCCTGAATATATTTGAGACCCGCAGAGTGCTTCGAAATTGCGTTCCCAATGCTTGGGCTAGTCGCTATGTCTGTAGTTGTATTTTATTTTAGATGACTGAGAAACTTTGCTGTCGGCATGTGTGCGGTCTCTGTGTGTGAGACTGTGTGTGTGTGTGCAAGTGTGTGTGTGTGTCTGTGCTCTTGCGTATCTACAAAATATCCCATTTTTCCTAGATAGGTCCATACGTCCATCGTGTAAAACAGGGGCGTTGATGCTCCCGCCCTATACATTTTGGCCTACATCGCATAACGTAACGCACCGAGAGACTGAGATAGAGCGCCACACAGAGAGGGTGACGCCGCCAAAACGATAGTCAGCAAGGCGCTTAATAAGAGACCCCCTACTGGTAGCTGAATCAAACGTGAGAGCAAAGAGCGTAACTGAGGCTGTGATGCTGCTGTTGCCTGTCTGCCTGCCTGCCTCTACCCGTGCGAGGCCGTCCCAATTGAAACCGGCTCCAGCATGCTCCAATGCTCCATTGCCCCATTGCTTTTGAGCGTGAACTCGTCGACATCTGCGCATCTGCGGCTGCGTCGTTGTTGACGCGACGCTGGTGCTGGGACTCGGACTTTGGGCCGTGTGCCGTGGCC